CTGAAGCGACAGCGACGCAAGGGCCGCGGTGAAGAGATGGCTGTTGACAGTGGGCCCCGTGAAGGGCCTAGCGATGTGAACATGATCAAGCGAGCCCGCACCCAGCGGTCCCGCGAAAAGCAGCTGGAGAAGGAGATCCCTTGGTCCCTCATTCCGGAGTTCATGAGGCCGAAGTTTCGGGAGAAAGAGATGGTCCAGTGGCGGGAGCATGTGGACACTGGGGCCTTGGAAGTCTTGAGTGTCGAGGAAAGCGAGCGAGTCCGCCGTGAAGAACCGGCGAGCCGTATCCCAGCCTCCCGTTTCGCCTACCGGGACAAGCACCTTGGGCGCAGACGCGCCGACCCTACTGTGGAGTGGAAGCCTAAATCAAGGTTGGTTGTGGCTGGACACCTCGATCCAGATGTGGGCATCGCCAACATCGAGGTCGACTCTCCCACGGTTTCGAGGGCATCCTTGATATCGCTGCTACAGATATGTGCTTCCAAACGTTGGAAGGCTGCTGCAGGTGATGTTCAAGCTGCTTTCTTACAAGGTGTTGAACTCGGCCGTCAGTTGTGGATGGCACAGCCAAAATCCGGGATTTCCGGACTGGACCCAAGACAGATCGCTCGGATCAGGAAGGGAGTCTTTGGCCTTTCTGAGAGTCCAAGGATGTGGTACGATAGGCTTTCTAGCGTTCTACTTGGCGAGGTGTTCGACATCGGCGGAGTGCAACACTGCCTCGTACCGAGCCCTTTGGACCCTTGCGTGATGATGCTCATCAAGGATGGCGAAGCTTCTGAGCCAGCAGGATACCTCGCTCTCCACGTGGACGACATCTTGGTGGTCGCCCCTACTGAGGTCAACCGCATGCTCCAAGAGAGGATCGGGCGCCTTTTCCCGATCGATGGCTGGCTCGAAGACAGCTTCGAGTATGTGGGGTCCTTCATCCAGGTGAACGACGATGGCGTGAGCATTACCCAGGAGAGCTTCGTTGATGGCCGTTTGTTCACTGTTGAGGTTCCCCGTTCGCAAAAGGGGACAGAACCAGCTACTGAAGAGCAGGCCATCGACAACCGATCATTGATCGGTGCCCTGAGCTGGTTGAGCAGCCAGAGTCGTCCAGACCTGACGTGTGGGGTGGCGTTGTCACAGCAGCTTCAGCGGGCCCCTCTTACCGAGGATGTTCGATTCGTGAATCAGCTCTCGGCCCGAGCCAAGGAGTTCCGCGAGAACGGGATCTACCTACGGCCTACCAAACTCGAGGACGCGGTCTTCCTCGTGTACCACGACGCGGCCTGGGCCAACGCCGAGCTCGAGGAGGCAGAGGACGGGTTCAAGCTCACGGCCGAGGAGATCGAACAGGGCACCATACGCGGTTTCTACAGCGAGTCTAGGCCAAGGAAAGCTAAAAAGGGATCTTCCAAGGTCGCTTCACAGTTGGGCCACTTGATCTTACTGGCCGACCGGGCTATCCTCGACGGGTCTTGTTGCCGAACGAGTTTGCTCGAATGGAGGAGCCAGTCATGCAAGCGGGTGTGCCGTTCCACTTTTGGTGCGGAGACTATGGCCGCGGTGGAGGGTCTCGAAGGAGGACAATACATGAGGGCTCTTCTGGCCTCGCTACTTCATGGACGGATCGTCAAGCACCATGAGATCCGTAAGCGGTGGCCAATCCTCTGCCTGTCCGACTGCAAGTCTCTCCACGATCACCTTCACAAGGCTGGAACACCGAGGCTTCCAGCAGACCGTCGTCTCGCAATCGACTTAGCAGCTCTACGCCAAGAGTTGCGGGCTGAACAGTGGACTGACCGTTTGCCGCTCCAATGGATCCCTACAGCGGTCCAGCTAGCCGATCCCTTAACGAAGCCCATGCGTACAGATGTGTGGTGGAAAACCCTCAAGGAGGGCATCACGCTACCTCTTAAAAGAGGACTTTTCTTGGGAAGAACAGAGAGATTTTAACCAGTGTAAGCCTGAAGTTGCTCGCACAGGTCGCTGGAGTGTTTCAGACGAGTTCGCCGAAGGCACATGTGATCGAGCCCAGCGAAAAGGCCTGCGCGCCTTTGCTTCTTAGGGTTTAGAAGGGTCCTTAGCTACCAGTGGCAGCTGTAGGCCCTCTTAGAAGCTGTCAGTAGGGTTTGGGGGGCTTGGGGGGGGTTGGGGGGTTTTTCGGGTGTCAAAACCTGGTGAAGATGTGATCTCATAGTTATCTGGTGTGGGGACATGAATCCAAGGGTAAAAGGAGGGACCCTGAATAAGGACCCCTAGGTATATACCCTTAATATAGGTATTTTTCTCCATGTTCTAGCCCATGCTTGGGTAGGGGTAAGGGTCCCTCCCTTTCCCCTTTGAATGAAGGGAGTCATCAAGGGACTCTAGCTACATGGTAGTTTCCGATAATAGGGGACCCTAATCTTGTACCCTAAACAGTAGGATCCTTATTCTAAGGAGCTCAAAATAAGGTACCCCTAGCTATCGGAAACTCTAAACCCTCATAGAACCCTTTAAAGGAACCCTTGTAGTACCCTTCTAGTAGCCCGTTACAGGAACCCTTGTCGTACCCTTCTAGTAACCCTTTAAAGGAACCCTAATACCACGATAAGGGGCGGCTATTGACGACGAGTGGTTCAGATCTCAGGCTTCGCTCCGAAACCCCATAGTAACCCTTCTAGACCCCTTTAAAGGAACTCTAGAACCCCCTTAAACAAAAACCGGGGGACTACAGCCTTTTTATGGGAAGGGTCTAGCTCCTGTCCTGTTCCTTGCAATTGGGGGTTTAGGGTTTTTTGGTGGTTTAGGGTTTAGGGGTTTAGGGTTTTTTTGAGTTTAGGGTTTAGGGTTTAGGGGTTTAGGGTTTTTTGAGTTTAGGGTTTAGGGTTTAGGGGTTTAGGGTTTTTTGAGTTTAGGGTTTAGGGTTTAGGGGTTTAGCATTTAGGGTACTGTAACTTCAAGCATACTCCCTAAGTAAGGGATATTGGAGTCTCTGGGAAGCTGCATCTTCCTTCACTCGCCCGGCGGCCCCGATCCTAGGGTTCTTGCTAAACCCTTCAAGGAACCCTTATAGATCCTTTTAAGGAGCCCTTACAGATCCCTATTACGGTAACTTAAAATTAACAATGCCTCCCTAAACCCTAAACCCAAAGAACCCTAAACCTAAACCCCTAAACCCTAAACCCCAAAGAACCCTAAACCTAAGACTCAAACCTAAACCCCAAGAACCCTAACCCCAAGAACCCAGGATCGGGATCAAGGCGACCGGGCCCGGGGCTGCGGCTCGGCGCGGCGCTTTGTCCTCGCAAGCCTGCAGAGCTTTTACTGCTTCCAAGGGTCGGGAATAGGGCTTCAAGCTTAGGGCTTAGGGTTTAAGGTTTAGGGGTCGGGAATAGGGCTTGAAGCTTAGGGTTTAGGCTTTAGGGTTTAAGGTTTAGGGCTTAGGTTTAAGGTTTGGGGGTTTAGGGGTCTGGAGAGCTTGGGAGTCTCTTCTGCAGCTTGGGCAGAGACTTCACACGACTTCAACGAGCCTCAACACTCCCAGCCCAAGGAGCTCCTAACAGATTTCGACCAAGCACAGCGGAAGCCTCCAAGAGAGGGTCTAAACTACCTGCAGTCTCCATCGTAGTTCCTTTTTGGGGTTACCTTATAGGATCCTAATTATGTATCTGGGATGGAAGACGGCTCTCCATCGTTATCATGACCATCATCGACACCATCACCATCCCTAGGCCCTAAACTACAAACCGTGAACCCTTGATCCTTCCTCCTCTCAACCTCGCAGACGTCCCGAGCCCTGAGGCGGTTTGCTTTTGCTGTTTGCTTTAAGTCTCAGGGCGTCCTGAGAGTCGCAAGGAGTGGTGCTGCTAAGAGCATGATGGCGATGAGGCTACGAACGTGGCGATAGTGAAGTCCAAGCGCTGAGGCCAGACAAAACACTTCAAGCAGACACAGAAGCAGCTTCAGCACCGACCCCCGTCTAATCGTCGTCATCATCATCATCATCAACATCCGCGTCCGCATCCGCATTCTCATCTGCATCCTCGTCCTCCTCATCCTCATCCTCATCCTCCTCATCATCATGCTCACCGTGTTATACCGTGACCATCACGACCGGCTTCGATATTCCTGTTAATTTGTCAGCAATCGAGTCGAGCTATAGGATTTCATGGCCCCTGCCTAGGTAGGTCCTGACAACCCGACACACCCGATACCATCAACCTCACAGACCCAAGACCACCATGAACCCCGACCGCAAAGCCGCGAAATCCGAATCCAAGTTTCCGAAGCAAGAGAAACCTTGCCTTCAGTTTCGCTTCCTTCTGAAGCTCCCCGCAGGGGCAGGTACTGAGCACGGGAAAAAGGGGAAGCTTAGCACAGGCTTTGGGTTTTGGGCCTCCGATTATGAAAACATTTGGAGCTTAGAGCTGGTTTTCGGTGCAGGTACTATGCAGCAAGTTGCGAGCTTCCTCGTAACTGTTCTGCATCTGCTCCACATCGTCATCTGAGTCGATCGCTCGAAGCTTCCAACAAGTGACGATGCCGCTGGTCGCTGCCAGAGTAGTAGTAGTAGTAGTAGTAGTAGTAGTAGTAGTAGTAGTAGTAGTAGTAGTAGTAGTGGTAGTGGTAGTGGTAGGAGTAGTAGTAGTAGCAGTAGTAGTAGTAGTAGTAGTAGTGGTAGTGGTAGTGGTAGTGGTAGTGGTAGGAGTAGGAGTAGTAGTAGTAGTAGTAGTAGTAGTAGTAGTAGTAGCAGTAGCAGCAGTAGTAGTAGTAGTAGTAGTAGTAGTAGCAGTAGTAGTAGCAGTAGTAGTAGTAGTAGTAGTAGTAGTAGTAGTAGTAGTGGTAGTGGTAGTGGTAGTGGTAGGAGTAGGAGTAGTAGTAGTAGTAGTAGTAGTAGTAGTAGTATTAGTCTCGGCTCACAGCGAGTGGGCGATGCCGAAAATTTTTTTTTGTGGCTCTCTTCCTAACGGTAAGCCGACTAGAAGGCCCAAGACCCTGAACTGAACGCGGCTTGGCCAAGCCACGTCATGCCATGGAACCTCTGGAATCAGCTGATTACTCTGGGCTCTGCTTTCTTGGCTTTCGGCATGGGTGCAACAAGGTGCATGACTGGGGCATTCCCAGCAGACCTACCTCCTGCACCGTATGTGCCCTTGCTGCTGATAAGGCCAGACTGGACGCCCGGACTCAGGATGACTTCCTTCGAATGGTTCTACTGGACCTGTTTGATGCGGCCGGCGGCTACCGGGCTGACCATCGATACTTCGACTACTTTGAGGGACGCTGGAGAAGACACGATCCAGAAGATATCATGGCAGCTGTTGCAGCCTCCAAATATCCCACCAGACTGCCGACGACCCGCTTATGGTGCCAATCGGCGCATCCGGCGCTGGCACACTACCTGTGGACTCCGTGTACCATTGGCAAACTACAATGCTGCGAACGAGCCCTGGCCTGCCTGGATTGAACAACATTTTGGGAACAGCCTGTTCGAGCAAGGGTGGCCAGGACGTGGGAAGCATAGGGATACCTACAGAGGGAGTAGAGCTGAATGCCGCACACATGGTCCCGTGTATAAGAAGTGCTGCATAGGACGTCGAAGCCGACTGTGGAAACTTAAACCACAGGCCCCTGCACGACGATACCGTCGTAGACGACGAACCTCCTATGCCTGCTCACCTCCACAGGTCCGTCGAGCTGCTGCCCTGCTCCTCTCCGGTATGACGGCTGCTCTCGAGATCTTTCAGTGCGCCCTTGCAGGACTAATCGAAGGTCTCCATGTTATCTTTAGAGGACTTCGCTGTCTGATGCAGCTGCAACAGAAGCTCCGCATGTGGTTCAGTCAGTGCTCAAGCAGGCAGCCATATCTGCATGTCACATGCACCGCACTGCCGATTCCTTACCCTGCCCTAAGCCCTCTCGGGGTTAGGTCCCCTAGGATTGACTCTAGGCCCTTGGCACCTCTGCGACCTCAGATGCTTCACAACCTTCATTGCTTGCCACAGCTGGTGAGGATTGCCGATCATATAGACCCCCCTGAACCTGGCTCTGCATACCCTAGCCCCGCCGCTGCGGACATGGACCGAGATCCTCTTCATGACAGTGTCCTTGAGGATGCCACTGCAGCTGAAGGGGCCGAGGAAGAAGATGCTGAGAGTGACAATGCTGAGAGTGACAATGTGTCGGCCCCCACCACACCAATGACGGCGGCAGAAAGGGCACACCCGATCACTGCACCTCCGCTCCATGGCCCACCAGCTGGACCTCCTCCACCAGAGCCAGTTAATGCTCCGATGACCATGGCCCACTTCCGCGCTCGCAGGACAGAACCCAGTGCAGGATCCTCGGCCTCAGCTGGTGTGGACTCAATGGGCATTGCTGCGACTTGGCCTACACGAGTTCCGCAGCATGCAGCCGAGGGAGCTCCAAGGTGGCATCGCACTCTGGCGGCTAATGTCCTCCACCATCTCCAGCTGACTGGACCGGCCTATGTGCGAGCCCCTGACTATGCCGAGGTTGCCACATGGAGGTCCCTCCTGATCAGCCTCAGGGAGGCCACGCCGGCTGAGGAATATATGCTCGAGCCAACCAACCCTCAGGACCTTCGCAATCCCCTCTTCGATCCACCGGCGGATGATGAAGACAACGACGATCAAGAGGTGGACGGGATGGAACAGGCACAGGAATCAGAGGGGCCTACGCACGACCCCGACACCTCGGACTCTGACTCCGAGAGCGATCAAGACGGGACCACAGCAAGGCCTCCCTCTGCTACCACGGCCCCTGCCCTAGAGACGACCTCCACTACTTCAGCAGCACCACCTCCAGGTGACCATCTGCCTCCGGATGACTCGGCAGATATGGAACCTGCTGCAACAGGCATGCTGTATGAGTCGGAGGACGGGTTAGTTTGTTTTGACCTGGCACAAGCCACCGAATGCCTACATGCCACCCGGGAAAGGCTTCATATGTATCGCGAGGACTCAAGTCGTGCTCGACAAGCAGGGTTAGCAGACCCACCAGTAGGTGGACCACGGTCCCGATCGAGGTCCCGTTCACCAGCACCGGACTCGAGCTCCAGGTGGGCACCCAAGGCTTCCCAACCCATAAGCCCCCTCATGCTCATAGTCCTGGCCAACATTGCCTCGACTACTGCCCGCCACGACCTGACTCCTAAGTCCCCGCCTGCCCATGCTGCCCCTAATGCAATGCACCATCCCTCAGGTGAAGCCAAACGGTTCAGTATGCGGTGCCTACCAGTTACAAAATACCGGCCTTGCCCGCTCTTCCTATGGTCACTTCTACGGCTCTTCCAGTGCAGCCGGCTCTCACCATGGCAGCCGAGACCGGCCCTCCCATGCAAAAAAGTGGAGACACTGCATGCAATTGTCCGGGTGACACTGCTCTGCACTGCCATTGTATGGACCTGTCTTGCCAGAGCCTCTTTGCTGCCATATGGCCCCTTCTCCAGGTACCCCTCGGCCAGCTGCCTGGCACATACCTGTGTGCATCCTCACAGCGAGGCAGGCCAATCCACCCAACTGTGGGTGCTCATCCCAATTGCCTTCTCCTTGCCCCTATGCTGGCCCAGGTCAACCAGCAGGCACTGTGGTGCCCACCAGGTGGCCCAGCCATGTGCTGGAAGAGAGGCAAGTCTCTCAGTCATAGCCACCGCAGTTCGTGGTACCGATTGCACCCTTGCAGGTGCTTCAGCCACTGTCACGGCATCTGCCACATCTCCTTTACCGAGCCGCTCGGGTCCCAAGTCCCGAGGATCCCATGTAAGCTGGTTGCACAGACTTCTCATTTACTACATGCAACTTCAGTGTGTGACAGCTGTGGGATCAGAAGCGAGGGTTGCAGCTCCTGTCACTAGAGCTGCTGGAGGTGCTTCCACAACACTGCCTCCTCTGGCTTCGGCGCCGAAGCCCAGTGACCTCCCTAATAGTCACGGTCTGAGTTCGCGCGATTATAGCCGCTGCGTCAAGCGTGCTTTCCACCGGGCATGCCACCGTGCACTGCAACAAGGCTCTACCCGCTATCGCGGGCGCACTTTGTGGGCACAGGACGTGCCCTCTCAATTCAGGGGACTCCCAGTGAGTGTACCCACTCGGCACTCCTTCCGACAGGAGCGTGTCCGGGGACTCCGTGTACTGTCTTGGAACTCGGGTGGACTTGGCTCAGGCCTATACCCGGAGTTGATGACTTATTTATCTCAGTCTTCCATCGATATCGCCATAGTGGTAGAAAGCCGTTGGACAGACCACTTCGAATTTACGTCAGGAGATTGGGTATGTATACATGGAGGCTGTCGGACCAGGAAAGAAGCCGGAGTCTTAATTTTGATAAGGCAGTCCCTAGTGCCCCCATCCCAACTACGGTATGAACACACCTTGCAGGGGCGAATCACACACGTCCGCCTCCCTCTACCGGGGCGAGAGGCGCGACATCTGCACATCTTTGGAGTTTACCAAAAAGTGTACAACCAGAAGGCGGCCACCTGTCTTGATCAGCGCCAACAAGTCTGGCAATCGCTGCACAAAAGTTTGGAACGTGTCCCGGTCAGAGACTCAATCCTGTTGGCTGGGGATTTCAACACCCCTGTGGCTACCGATCTACCCCATGTAGGACATCATGTGCTGCCTATGCCACAGCATCCGCCGGAGGATGCTCAGGACCTTGTCAGCCTGTATCGCACCTTTGACCTTGTCTCCCTGAATACCTGGAGGCACCCGACATCCGGTGCAGCCTCCACCTTCAAATGGGGCCAGGTCGAATCCCAGATTGATTTCTTGTGGGTGAGAAGACGAGACGCCACATCGCAGGCCAGGCAGGCATATGCAATGCGAAGCTTCCATGTGGGAGCATCCAGGCACGGTGGAGCACATCACTTTCCCCTGCTGTGCTGTCTCAACCTGCGTAGACCGCACTGGACTCGCACTCCGGCAAGAGCTGTCCACTCAATTGATCGTGAGGCCCTGCTGACTGCACTTGATAACCCCACTCATGTCGAGCATGCATGGAAGCTGAATCACATTCGCCAAGCTGCCATGCAGCACATGCAGACTAATCCCACGATTGCTGGAATTGAACAGCTGCACAAGGTTCTACACCAAGCCTGCCTGCAAATTTTCCCGAAGGCTGCCACCTCAGTTCCTGCCAAACCTTGGCAAACAACGGACGTCCAGACTGGAATCAGGACCATGTGGGACAAGTGGAGGGCCTTCAAACAAATCCGAAAGAACGGGCTACGAGGATGGTTTGCGGCCTGGAAGGCTTGGCGTGCCTTTACTGCTCACCATAAGCAACATCAAGCGGCCTACCGTGCTGCTCGAAAACAGGTCCTGACCACGGCTATGGACGAGGCTCGCCAGTGTGCATACAAACACGACACACGTGGGATCTTTCAAGTTGTGAATCGAATTGCCCCGAAACAGACCAGACATCGTCTACAACTGAAAGATGCTCAAGGGCGAATGCTTGATGCCACCCAAGAGGTGGACCTCCTAGCTTGTCACTTCCAACGGCGCTTCTGTGAAACAGATCCTGCAATCCTGGATGCGACCAGAGGCCCCTGGTCCACTTCTACGGCTCCGGCCCTTGATCCCAATGAGCTCTCCCACCAGCTGATGCTAGTACCACGTCGCAAAGCGGTTCCGAAAGCACACCCTCCGAGTGCAGTTTGGCGATGCTGTGCGGATCTTGTGTCGCCATGGCTGTGTGCATGCCTCACGCAGACATGGGCTTACACGGAGGTCACTGTTCCTCCTAGCTGGGCAGATGTAGACCTAGCTCTGGTCCCCAAACCGGGGAAACCGGGCACAAAACCGGAAGACCATCGACCCATAGGTCTGTCTTGCCCCCTAGGTAAGAAGGTTCTAAGCTGCCTGATTGGACCCTATATACCTCAGATGCTTGCTGCCATTCAACAGTTCCCGCAGTATGCATACCAACAAGGCCGGGCCCAGTACGATGCACTTCGCAGAGCCTTCAAGCACTGTGCCTTTGTGAGGGCCGAACTTGGCTACCATCGCAAGGACTTGCATGCCCGGAAAGCAGGCCACAAGCCCATTCCGATGTTTGGTGCCCTGATGATCACATTAGACTTGTCACAGGCGTTCGACAGAATGCCTCGCCATCATCTTCTCCAAGGCATGCGAGACCTGCAACTGCCTGACAATCTTGTGGCTGTAATCATGCAATGGCACTCACAAATCCGATATACTGTGCACCACGCAGACCAGTCCCGCACCTTCCCTGCGAGCCGTGGCATTCGCCAAGGCTGCTCTGCCTCGCCTCTGTTGTGGCTAGTCTTCTCACATGTCATATGCACTCAGCTTGCGGCCCGCATAGGCAAACACAAGGTCGACCAGCTTCTCACTGTCTTTGCTGACGATCACTTTGCAGCCGACAGCTTTCGCAGTATACCGGAGTTTGAGGCACTTCTTGACTGCATTGTTGCCCTGTTTAGCACCCTCGAAGCCTTTGGAATGGAGGTCAGCGATGCCAAATCCAAAGCTGTCTTGGTCCTACGAGGCACCTTGAGTAACACTATCACCCGCCGATATGTTCGCAAAGTCCCAGGGGGCAGAGTTCTCCGTATCCAACTTCGCAGTCGGGTCCTGGCCATTCCCCTGGTATCACAGTTCACGTACCTCGGTGCTCAAGTTAGCTATCAAGCTTTTGAGAATCAAACTCTGCAGTATCGATTACAGAAAGGAACTGCCACCTACAATCGCCTCGGCTCTGTCCTCAAAGGACGGCATCATTTGACTGCCGCCCAGAGAATCGATCTGTGGAAATCCTGTGTTTGGAGCAGCATATCCTATGCCCTGCCTGCCTGTGGTCTGACCCCATCAGGTCACAAAACTCTGGAAACTGCTGTGATCAAGCACCTCCGTGCCATTCTCAGAAGCCCAGTCCATCTCACCTTCACAACCAATGCAGAGATAGCCCAACAGGCGAGTCTTGCGCTCCCGCACATTATGCTGCAGAGGCTCCTCCAGACAGAGGCTCGGAGGAAATTGCAACATGATTAGTACAGTCATCGTGACATGCACCCGGGCTTCCTTATGGCTCAGGATAAGGGGCCCCTTTTCCTTGAACAGACGCCAGCCATAGGCTACCTCGGAGCAGTGCGCTCCCGTGAAAAGCTGCAGTGTGCTGAACACGTTTGTGCGAGTGAGAAGCTAGAGCCCAATCCGGTTGATCCTGCCAGTGATCATATCTGCTACCCTGTGCAGCTTCCGCTGCATTGGTAGCGGAGCAGTTAGCTCCAGGGACCTCTGCAGTCCTTTAAGAGGACTCCCGAGATCGAGCTGCTGCTCCGGAAACCAAGCTGCAGGCCTACTTGCTGACGTTGATCTACTACCAGGCTGCAGCTGCCCGTCGGGTTCTACTTGACGGTTTTCTCCAGTTTACCAGTTGCTTTGATTCTTCTACTTTTCTTCAGAAGCAATGGCTGATTCACGAGATCGGCCCATGGTACCGAGTTGGGATGGTAGTGCCCGAACGTGGAGGCGCTACACCAAGGAAGTTCTGTGGTATGTGCAGGGAACGGCGGCTCACCGCCGACGTCATTGCGCCAGTCAACTGCTCAGTCGTCTGACTGGACCAGCTCGCTTGCTTGCTATGTCATGGAACCACGGCATGCTTGTTGACAACAATCATGGCACCAAGCTGTTTCTTCAGAAGCTTGCCAGCAGTCCCTTGGTGCGTAAGAGCTTGCCGAATGCTGCGGCGATATGCCAGCAGTACTTCGCCTTCAGGCGCAGCCCTCAGGAGTCCATCGGGAACTTCTTGGTCAGGGAGACCCTGGTGCATGAGGAGTTCTGTGAGGCCATCATCAGGCTCTACGAGGAGAAGCAGGGCATCTCTCAGGACCAACGCGATTTTGGACTACCTGAACCTGACGACTGGGACGACCAGGCATGGGCCGACGACTCATGGGCCTGGTGGTCGCGGGAGGAGGGCGATGATGCCGACGAAGGCGAGGACCGAGAGGCAGCGACGACCACCCATCCTCCTGGTGATGAAGATCCTGGCGCTGATGCTCGTGGAAGCACTTCACCTGGGGCCCGACTTGGGGCAACAGGTTCCTCACCGAGTCACGGCGGCAATGCATCTGTTGCAGCTGGTGGTGATGAATCACCCGCTCAGGCCGAACCGGCAAAGGAGGTCAAGCCTCCCCAAACCGTCGACGAGCTCACGATTGCCGACAGCTTCATTATGGGCGTCCTTCGAGGATGGAGGCTCCTCCAAGCCTCGGGATTAAGTCCCGATGAGATGCGGGACATCTTGTCGGCAACGAAGAACTCCCTGGACTACGAGATGATTGCCGCCGCTCTTCAGAATCTGTGGGACGACCAACTCCTAAACTCCCGTGGTCGTCACAAGTCTGGCTATCACTTGAACTACGCGAACGAGACGGAAGACCCCGAGCTGTACATGCACGAGTACGAGCAAGGCTGGGACAATGGAAGCGGTGACTGGTGGGACGATGGCACGGCCTACTACACGGGCTTCGAGGATGATGCGTGGTGGTACGGCGACGAGGACTGGGCCCCTTACGAGGCCCAGAGCGCTGCCGAAGTCAATGCGACCCCGGACCCGGTTGATGAGGGCAAGCTACGTGAGGCTCAGCAAGCAGAGCAGATGGCGGAGTCTCTTGCAATGGAGGCCCAGCGGACTTGGACGGAGGCTCAACGAGCTACAGCGGCCCTGAAGAAAGACAGAGGCTTCGGTGCGAATGCTGGCACGAGCGCCTCGACACCACCGGGTCGTTGCTTCCTGTGCCATGGACCACATCTTGCTCGCGATTGTCCAGGACGAGGATCTGGCTATGGTGGCAAGGGAAAGTTCAAGGGCAAGTCCAAGTACGGCTATGCGACCGAGATGGACGCGTACTACATCAAGGGCAAGAGCAAATCCAAGGGCAAGGGCAAAAGCAAGAAGGGCATGTACCTGAATGCCGATGCTGTCTGGAAGGGGAAAGGAAAGGGTCCTGATTGGGGATCCCGGACAGTGAATGCCTACGCAGCGTCGGCGGACTACTTCATGGGTGGCCTTGAGCTCACAACCACCATGGACATGGCGTCGGCTACAACGAGTACGGCCAGGCCTGAACGGGGAATGATAGATTGTGGCGCGACAGCGTCGGCAGCTCCTGAAGCTGTTGTGAAGGGGCTGATAGCCTCGATTCTTGAGAAGGACCACGGAGCTCGTGTGGACATTGACTCCAACTCGCGGCCATACTTTCGCTTTGGTGACGGGAGATGGGGCAGGGCTCTTTACAGGGTGCAGTTGACAAGCAAGGCCTCGGGAACTGCTAGAAAGTTCTCTCTGTTTGCCCTACCGAACCCTAAGGAGTACTTTCAGGCTGCCTTTGACAAAAACTCCTTAGTCCCCATCCTTGTTGGCATGGACTTCTTGGGAAAGAATGGCAACGGCTTGATCATTGATTTCACAACAGGCTTGGCTACCAGTTCTCTTGATGATAATCCCAAGGTGTTTCATCTTTTGCAGAATCAGAAGGGTCACTTCATGTTGGATGTGTGCGAGTACCTCACACAAGGCCATACTGTTCTTGAAGGTCATGCGCATATTGTTGTCAGCGGCAGTGACGAACACACTCCACCTTCAGAAGTGAATGTGCTGGATCTGCATGTTGTCACGTTTGATTTGACTGTCAGTGACATGGTACATGACTCTCCTGATCTTCAACAGTCTCGTGATCGACTGCTGCAGTTGTATTGCCTGTCTCGACAACAACAAGGTCTTTCGATACCAGCAGATCTTTGCTCAATGCTCGCGACAAGCTCGTCGCTTGAAGCCCCGACAACATCCTCTTCGCGCTCTTTCTCCAATGGCGACTCCCTCGTCCTCGGTGGACCCGGAAGTGGCCGAGATCATCGCGGCAGCGGCCAAGGCCAAGGCGGCGTCGGCGAAGCGCCGAACGCGGTCCCTGGACACCAACCGCTGCATGCGTGCGGACCCTCGCGACCCGCGGACAAATCCCAAGTGCTGGCCGTGCTACGGCAACCACGCACCGGGAGCTCCTCAAGCAAATGCTCACGGCCAGTGGATCCATTGCTCCGTATGCGACCTACGCCTACTGTACACCCCACGGAAGGGGTCACCCTCGAACACCACGGCAGTCCACAATGCGGCGATGGTCACGAAAATGCTGAAGCAGCTGAAGGCACTCATTGGGGATCGCAAGCCAACCCAGAAGGTATGCCACCACATGATGGCGAAGATCACGGCCGAGGAAGTGCTGGAGAAGTCGATTCGGGAGCTCATCGCGGAGCCCCCGGTGACGACCAAGATGACTCCGGCATCAGGCAGCACAGCGGACGGCTACGTGCACCTGACGACCAAGGACAACGACGAGGAGCTGATTGCGGCCTACGAAGCGGAAGCAGAAGTGGTTCCCTAGACTTGACAATGCGCCCACTCAGTCAGCATATGGCCAAGAAGATCATGCTCTTTGTATCTTTGATGACTTCAGCGACATCCAATTTGCTGATGGGTCTTCAGTTGGATGGTTGTGATGGGTTGTGGGAAATCTCCGGTGCTCCCCACAGCTGGTTGTCACAATCTGCTATTCATCATGGACTACAAGCACGTCCTATCAACTACCAGACAGGCTACGATCTCTACAAGGAGGACACCTGGGAACACCTACGACAACTACAACAAAAATCGCGACCACGTCGGCTGTGGATCTCTCTACCTGGCGCAAAATGGTGTCCATGGAAGGCCATTGATCAATGCGATGAAGGACAACGGTCATCGCTTGAAGCTGGTCGGAGAAAAGAACGACGTGTCCTTCGACAAGCCGTGAACTTTGTGATCAATGTATTACGTGATGACCCAGATGTCCAAATCTACTGGGAGTGGCCCACAAACAGTGCGGGATGGTCCCAACATGCGATGAGAGAACTACAAGATTGGCTACTTCAACGAGATCTTCCCTGGTTGGCATGTCGAGTGGATGGATGCGCTTATGGTCTTCGGGATGAACAGCAGGGCGCTTTCATCAAAAAGCGATGGACTATCAAGACCACCGATGAGATCTTCCATAAACGATACCGGGCCAAGGTCTGTCCTGGACAACATCCACATGTCGATCTCCAAGGACTTGAGCATGCACCAGTAGCCTACTACCCGTGGCGACTGGTTGAATCCATCACTAAGTCCTGGCGGGATGATGCGACACCATCTCGACATCGACAACTACTATCACTTCGACATGATCTTCCAGCTCTGTGTGATCGTGATGACTTTGGACCTCCCCGGGACAATGACTCCGATCAGTTGGATGAAGCCTGCGAAACAGAGGACATCATCGACAACAACCTCGTTGCCAGCATCACTCTTGATGAGTCCGGCCGACTACGATACGAACACATGGCACGCGAGGCCAGGATGCGAAAGCAATTTGATTTTGAGGTCTGTGAGAACATCCTCTTCTCCTTCCACGAGGCTGTTCAAGCTCGAGGTCAAGGCGCAAAACACACCCGTGGGACAATGTCCGGAGTGACAAGCTTCAGTCTCGGAGCCTACTCACATGGATCGTTCGTCGGTGTGTTCAACTTTACACACAAAAGCCCAGAGCTGTGCTGTTACCTCAACCACTTCCTCAAACATCATCTACCACAACAACAATGGTCTAGCCTCATGATAACCTTGAATACTCGAGCACTCCCTCACCGAGATCATCACAACTTAAAGGGCAGCCAGAACATTCTTACTTGTTTTGGAGACTTTGAGAAGGGCGGCCTTTGGTTGTCTGGTGATCCTCCAGGCGATCAACCTGTACGACGCAGGTATGTTCCTGGACGTGGATACTTCAAGGGCTACGTGAAGGCAACAAAGGGCCAGTTTGTTGTGTTTGATCCTGATCAAGTTCATGCTTCTGAAGCCTGGAAGGGGTATCGCATCAGCCTATCGGCCTATACCACAAGGCTGGCGCCCTGGCTGAGCGAAGGTGACAAACGGCTGATAACCTCTCTCGGTTTTCCTGGAAAGGCTCTACGAGAACCAGTGGTCCCCCCTGTTGACATCAAGGACCTGAACTCTTCAGAATCTCAACGTCCTGAAGCTCTCACCCAGGTGACTACAAGTAACCTGAACTCGTCAGAATTTCGACGTCCTGAAGCTCTCACCCATGGTCCTTGTCTACACTATGATCAGTTTGCTGTACTACCAGAAGGGGTCTCTCAAGCAGAGTATGATTCGTGGGTCTCCAAGGTCGCCAAGTTCCACAAGTCAGCTGGCCATCCGACCAACAGGAACCTCGCTCGCATCGTTTCTGACGGCGGACATCCCAAGTGGAAGGTGCAAGTGGCTCTTGAGCACAAGTGTCCTTCGTGCGAAGCCAATAAACCAGGAAGTGTGAGCTCTGGTCAGATACCACCGGCCAGCACAGCACCAATGTACCGCGCTTGGCAGGCTGTTACGATTGATGCTGCCGAATGGCCCATTCCTGGGACCAAGAAGAAGATGAAGTTTGTTCTCTTCATGGACTTTGCCACAAAGTTCCGCGTTGTGGCCCCTATCAAGATGTACGACATCATGGCTATGGATGCGGAGTCGGCTGATTCTGTGATACATGCATTTGCCGAGCGATGGTTGAGTGTGTTTCCCAAGCCACAAGTGGCCATCATGGATTCAGCCAAGACCTTCACTTCTCTCAAGATGCACGAGTTCCTCTCGAATGTCAACGTCCTTCCTCATTTCATTGCCGAGAAGGAACATTGGAGTCATGGTGTTGCGGAGGCAGCCATTCAAGATGTGAAAAGCACTGCCACAGCGATTCATATGGAAGCCCTGGAACAAGACCCTACGATCACACTGCATTTGGCAGCGGCGGCGCTCAACTCCACAGAGTATACTGCAGGGTTTTCCTCCTACCAGTGGGTGTTTGGACAAAACTACAACATCACCGACGAGGACTACCGCACTTTTGCCTCGCTGCCGAGATCGCAACAACAAGACTTCTCTGCGTTGGTGACGGCTAGACAGCATGCTGAAGAGGTGGCTCGTCGAACACGTGCCTCCCGTGTGCTGTCCAAACTGGCCAACACTACAGTTCGGCAACCTCTATGTGAATTCAAGGAGATGGACCTCGTGAAGGTCTGGAGAAAACAGTGGCCGGCGGAAATCTACAAGGGGCCACGTGGCGGCTCAAAGAAGTCGGGACGACCTCATTGGATTGGACCTGGCAGAGTGGTGTTCCATGAGATCCTTCCACAACAACAAGAAGGAGATCCTCGGAGGCACATTGTGTGGGTTCTGATTGGGTCTCAACTCTACCGATGCTCAGTTCATTCAGTACGTCATGCTACGGAGACGGAAAGGTTCGTTTTTGAGACATCAGGCGAGGAAGACCCCAGCCGATGGAAGACTCTTGCTGACGTACTACCTCGACGAGAGTACCACGACATTGTGTCCGAGGAGCCAGGCGAGGAAGACACCGAACTTCCACCTCTGCCCGAACGTCCTGATCCTACAACTGTTCAGATACCCACTCGGCGAGTTCGTCAAAAGACCACCTTCAAGACCGGTGATTGGACGGATGATCCAGTGAAAGATCGTCTACAAGTGGTGCCCGAACCGGTCAACGCCTACGACGAAGAGGGCCCATCACCTACGCCTGGAACTTCCTCTACTACAACAGGACCCCGCGAGGAATCACAGCGACCTACTCCTGAACCAAAGCGCGCAAAGCTGGACTTGGACGCGACGGCTGCAACTACGACGACAAAACCGTCCTGGGTGGAGGAGCTGTACATGGCTGAAAGCCACGCTGAACAGGAGATGAATATCTTCACGGCCTTCGAAGAGTCCAACGAGTTCCTCAAGATCGAGTTTGACCTTGATGTCTCTTCTAACAGACAACAAAAGATGCTCATCAACAATCCACAAGCATTTCTTGTCAAAAAGATGAGAGACTCTGAAGTGGTCATTGCCAAACTACCACCCCAAGAACGTCAACTGTTTGTGAGAGCGAAAACAAAGGAGGTCGGCTCATTTCTGTCAAATGAGGCTGTCAGGAAGTGTCTGTCCAAGCAGGAGATCAAGGAGGCCTTTGACACCAACCGTATCGTCAAGGCCCGATGGGTACTCACATGGAAGCTGGTTCCGCCAGAAGATCATGATGATGCCTTACGAGATGCCCGGGAAAACCCGGAGACCTTGCACGACAAGGCTGGGCGCCGAAAGGCAAAGGCACGGATCGTGCTACTTGGCTTCCAGCATCCAAATCTGCTGGACAGAAACTTTAAGACGGCAGCTCCAGTACAATCACTTTTGGGACGCAACCTCCTCTACCAAATGTCTGCTCAACATCAATGGCCCTTAGAGGGACTGGATTTGGCCACAGCGTTCTTGCAAACGCAACCAACGGAGGCGGATGCGAAGCTGTGGACTACAGGAGTTCAAGAACTACGAGATGCTCTACAAATTGGCGAGGAGGGCATCATGCGGATCTTGAGAAACATCTACGGCTCCACGACGGCACCGAGAGGTCTATGGCTAGATCTACACAAGACTCTGACGGCCTTGGGTGGTGAACCAGTTCTTGCAGAACGTTGTCTGTGGATCTGGAGGTCCCAAGATCGTGAAGATGGACATCATAAGAAGGTGATCGGCGCTATGGGAGGTCATGTTGATGACTTCCATCGCATCGGCGATGGCAGTGATGAGTGGATCGAGCTGAAGGGCAAGGTGGACAGTGCCTACAAGTGGGGTACAGCGAAGAAGGGAAACTACCGCCATGCCGGCACGGACGTCTCCACCATCGTCAAGCACGACGGTGAGTTCTACATCGAGATCGACCAGTCCTACTACGCTGAGGGAATACCTGACCTTGAGATCAGTCCGGAAAGACTCCGGGACAATGGCCCTCTACGACCTCAAGAAGTTGGTGCATGTCGCACTACCTTGGGTGCTCTGCAATGGATGGGATTTCAGACGCAACCCCAGTTGTGCGCCCGATGCAATCTCCTCCTGACTGAGATTGTGGTCCAAGGATCGTTGGCACATGCTCGTGAAATACAAGAGATGTTGGGAGAGGTACGTCGAGGGTGCACAAAACTCCGTTTCTTCCGATTGCCCACGGCGACTCACTGGTCTGAGCTTGTGTTTATCTCCATGGGTGACCAAGCTCATTGCAACAGACCCAAGGGAGGCTCCACAGGAGGATTGGTGACCATGATTGCTGGTCCCGAAAGCCTTCTCGGGAAAGTGTGCCCCATGACCCTCATTGCATGGCGCACTTGGAAACTTCAGAGAAAAGCTGTTGGTTCGAACGACGCAGAAGTTCAGAGTATCCTTGAGGCCGAGGACCAGAACTTCAGAGCACGTCTTCTATGGACTGAACTTCATGGTGCTCATGAACAAGCAGACAGCCGTGAAAACCTGGTGACGGTCTCCGAACGTCAGGCTGCACAGATTCGCGGTGTCCTTTGCACTGATTCCCGTGGTGGCTATGATGCTGTCGAGGTGAACGAGAGTCCACTTTTGGGTTTAAGTAACCTACGATCAGCCTTGCAGGCCTTTCAGCTACGAGATAATCTGCAAAGAGTGCGATGTGAGCTACGATGGCTGGCCAGCGACTACGACTTAGCAGATGGTCTGACAAAGAAGAAAGCAGAGGCGCGGGTTGGCCTCCTCAAGTTCCTTGCAACGTGGCATTGGTCAATTGCTTTTGACAAAAACTTTGTCAGTGCGAAGAAATCAAAGCAACAGGGTAAAACAGCGATTGGCGAAATCGATGAGTTCCTCAAGGGAGACTCACCTGAGCTCATGCATGTCATCGCTGAAAACCTTTTTATGGTGGTGCAACATGATTAGTACAGTCATCGTGACATGCACCCGGGCTTCCTTATGGCTCAGGATAAGGGGCCCCTTTTCCTTGAACAGACGCCAGCCATAGGCTACCTCGGAGCAGTGCGCTCCCGTGAAAAGCTGCAGTGTGCTGAACACGTTTGTGCGAGTGAGAAGCTAGAGCCCAATCCGGTTGATCCTGCCAGTGATCATATCTGCTACCCTGTGCAGCTTCCGCTGCAGAAATCTAATGAGTCATCATCGGCGGATCCCTTCATCTGCGGACCCCATGATCCATGGTGGAAGCAGGTTGAAGCAAGCCTTCAGCCACCATCTGAGTCGGCTGTGATTCAAGTGCCTGCCCTGACTATGTCCCAATGCACCTGCCCGATATGTGGCATCGCTTATGCCCTTCGATCTGCACTGTTAACTCATGTGGCCAAGCAGCACCCGGAGAGTCTGCTGGAACTTGAACAGCCAACATTTGATCGGGCAGTCGATGCTGTAGGAGGAATGCCCCAGTGTGCAGCATGTGGCAAACGATTTCCTACTTGGCAGCTTCTACAAAGACATGTGGAGGGTAACTACTGTGCTGCAAAACACGCTTTGGTACCTGCTGCACCTGTCGAGCCAATTGTGCCAGCATCCCAACGGCCTGCACTCTTTGCTGAATCACCTTGGCCTGACCTGGTCCGAAAACATGCGTCCAGAGCTATCTTTCACTCTGCAAGCAACGAAGTCTACCTCCAGCATTGTCTAGTGTGTGGCCAGTGGGTAGCCTCGCATAAAGCCATGAAACTGCACTACCGCCGTACCCATGCTGAGCTATTCCGCCTCCACAATGACGCTGCCTACAAAATGTGTCAGTCATACCCCCGCTGTAGCTCCCCATGTCACTTCTGTAAAGCTCAACTTGCACAGCCTAGGGCACATAATACCCAGTGCACTGTTCTGTGGCAATTCTGCATCAGCTTCACAGCTGCACGGCATCATGGCGGATCAACAGATCGCGGAGATCTTCGGACCGGTGGCTACGGAGGGGGCGGGCCAGCTAGCCAGTCTTCTCATGGAGGACACGCTGTTGGACAACGACCGTCCGGGTCCACACAAGCACCCCAAAACGGACGGGCGGACGGACAAGCGTCTGAGGGCGCCCTTTGGAGAGCCTTTCGGAGGGGGCTTCGGCCCTCGCTACAGAGGGCAGAACCGTCCGGGTCGCCAGGACAAGGAGGTGGCTTTGATCAAGGCGATGGGCAGGCTAGTGATACGCCAAGAGACCCAATTGCAGGTCCTGAAGCAAAACTCTGCCTGGACCCTCTACTTGAAGCCGGGCCAATCCGGAGCCATGCCGATTCTATTCAAGACTGCAGCCACCTACCGCGAGGCCTCCAAGACCAGGTTCATGGAAGCCCCCCTACGGGCAGTTCTGCTGAGCACCCTGTTTCAGACCCTGCTTGCATGCCTGCAGACCCTAGCCACGCAGCAGGATCAACAAGCTCAGGCCAAAACCAAAGGCTGGCTGAACACGGAGGGCAAGTGGGTATATCAGCGTTGGGACCCGGAGAACCAGGTGCTCAAAACCGACGACACTCGGGCTGCCGTGACGCACCAGGAGGTCGTCAATCATGTCAACCTACTGGTTACTGCAGTGACGGGGAAGGACGTGATTCATCGCTTCAATGCCACGAATGGCCTGCCGGCCAATCCGGAGCAGATCACGACTTTTCTCCTGGAAGTGGGATTGAGGGCCTCAGGGGTCGAGAAGGTCTGGGCAGCCCTCGAGTTCTTATCGAACTCGACGGCCCTACAGCTGTGCGGCATGCAGCTCAAGCGGGACAATCTCAAGAGGAGCTCGCTTGCCAACGACGTGCAGAAATTGCTGCAGGACTACACAGGCTCTGCTTGATTAATCGCTCCCAGCACTGCTATGCCAACTCATTTGCATTCGCACTACTGTGGTGTCATCAGCTTCTGAAGGTGCCTGAAGCACAGCTCTTCGGAACCAAAGTGCAGGCGTGGAGAGATGTTCTCTACCACCGCACCAGTGTAGTGTTGCTCAGGCTGCAATCCTGGGCACCCTTGTGGCGTGGGTGGGAGCGACCATCGGCGCAGCACGACGTCTCAGCCTTCATGACCCATGTACTTGCGAAAATGCAGCCACCCATACTCCAAGGAACATGGGAATCCCGCACTTTGGAAGGGGGCGAAACATATCGTGAGGACTCTGGCCGATTGCACTCTCCCATTATCCTGCATATACAGACACGGCATCAAACACTGCAGGACTGTCTTGATGGATGGCACAATCAGGTACAGCCGCATGCTCTATGCCAGGCCTCATCCTTGTGCTTTGTGCAACTGGCCAGGTATGATTTCGATAACGGGGTGGCTGTCAAGAACAGCCAGGCTATCACGATCCCTGATTCAGTCTTTGTGCCCATTTGGGGCAGGCATCTCACGACCTTTCGAGCCAGATACCATGTAGTGGCTGTTATTATGCACCATGGACCGCATACCGCTGTTGGTCACTACACTTCAGCGCTCTTGGACCCAGCCACGGATTTGCACAGGGGCCGATGCTGGCTGTCGGATGACAATCGTCGTCTGGTGGCCCAAGCCTCACTTCCTGACTCGGCCATGCATCAAGGGTACGTGTTCGCCCTGGTCAGGTCCGTCTGACTGCCGTGCATCGATTGGGGTGCTTTTCTCTGAACTGGGGACTTGATGAACCTCGTTCATCTCTTTTGACGAGCCTGTTATCAGTGCACTGCCGAAAGTGTGGAGCCTTTTAACATTACCAGACCGGCTTGCAGGCACTAGTGCCGGAGCCACTTTTACCGGGCCCCAAACGGGGTGCGCATTTGGCGCCGACAGACACCGATGTCGCCGATGAAGGGACGCTTAGCGAAGACGCATCTTTGCTGCGAGGGAAGAAGAAGAAGTGGTAGTGGTAGTGGTAGTGGTAGGAGTAGGAGTAGTAGTAGTAGTAGTAGTAGTAGTAGTAGTAGTAGTAGTAGCAGTAGCAGCAGTAGTAGTAGTAGTAGTAGCAGTAGTAGTAGTAGTAGTAGTAGTGGTAGTGGTAGTGGTAGTGGTAGGAGTAGGAGTAGTAGTAGTAGTAGTAGTAGTAGTAGTAGTAGCAGTAGCAGTAGCAGTAGTAGTAGTAGTGGCAGCAGTAGTAGCAACAGAAGCGGCAGCAGGAGCTGCAGCAGCAGCATCAGCAGCAGGAGCGGCAGCAGAAGGAGCAGCAACAGGACCGGCTGCAGTAGGAGCGGCAGCAGTAGCAAGCAGCTGTGACATTAAGAGACATGACAAGAATTAATCAGTCATGGTCGACACCACTGCAATCGAAGTCGCCATGCATCAAACGGCGGAACACTGCACTCTGCCCGCAGTACTGCCTCAAGCCCCAACAAGTCGCAAAGATTTAGGGCTTTAGGGCTTGGGGCTTTAGGGCTTGGGGCTTTAGGGCTTTAGGGCTTTAGGGCTTTAGGGCTTTAGGGCTTTAGGGCTTTAGGGCTTTAGGGCTAGGGCTTAGGGTTTTGGGCCTGGGGCTTGTGTTGCTTAATTCGGATTTTTCTAGCGATCTTATAATGCTTATGTGAGCTTTTTTGAAGTTTGGTAAGGTTTTTATAGGGCTTGAGGGCTTGGGCGATCTCCTGTCTAGGCCTTGAAGGCAGAACCCAACATGCTGAAATCCGAAGCGCGGAAGCTAACAGCAGTGAGCTCCCATTTAGGTTTAGGGTTTAGGGTTTAGGGTTATAGGGTTATAGGGATTTAGGGTTGTAGGGGTATAGGGTTATAGGGCTGTAGGGTTATAGGGTTGTAGGGTTTAGGGCTATAGATCGACGGCCATGAAATGAGAGCTCTTAGACTTAGACTGCGAGATCCTCGCTGTTATCCCTTGTGTCGCGAGGCCTTGGGGTCATTCTCACGGTCGTCATCCTCATGTTCTTCATCCTAGTGACAAGAACCATAATAAAAAATAGTCGTAAAATTAGTGATAATATTAACAGTATTTACAGTAATAATGAGGCCTTCACCGACAACAAGAGCATCCCCCTCCCCCTCTCAAGTTTTTCGAAGAGCGAAGAAGAAGCGAAGAAGCCCTCCCTTCACTGGTCCTCGGGGCCTGGACGACGTCACGAGCCCTGGGGCTTTTGGCAGTAGCTGGAGTCAGCATGAGGGTTTTGGATTTTGGGTTTAGGCCGTTTAGGGAATATTAAGGGCCCTTTAGGCATGGTTTAGGATTTAGGGTATTTCGATTATGATGTAGGTTCAAGTCCAAACGCAGGACAACACACTGAAAGCAGACACACCAGCAGCTTGAGCATTGGTGCTCTAGACTCAAACGACGAAACCGCAGGGCCCGTGCTATCACCATCACCACCACATTCATCGTGATCGTTACCATAGGCTCAGCTCGTCAACATCGAGCCGGGCTTCCGCATCCCTGGGCCCCCTAAACCCTAAACGTTTAGGGTTTAGGGTTTAGGGAAGTCTTGGCAATCCGGTACACTCGAGAGCATCAACCCAATGCCCAACACACTCAAGAACTCATCTAGACCCTAACTGCAAACCCCCTAAACCCCAAACCAAGCTTCCGAAGCAAAGCCATGGCCTTCAGCTTCGCTTCCTTGTGAAGCTCGCGCAAAGGCAGGTACTGAGCACAGGAAATCGGTAAGCTTCTACTGGTGCCCTTAGTACCTATGTCAATACAAACTCAGGGTTTACGGTTTCGGGTCCGATTATGACATTTCGGGTGCGGAGTCCTGTTTTTGTAGCGCAAGTTGGGGCTTTTTGCGGCTTTGGCTTCCTGGGTATGCAGGTTTAGGGCTCTGAAGCTCGAAAGCTGCTGCCTGCAGCATCCCACCTAAACCATATACAATATTCTTTCATTGTTCCTTGTTATACTGTAGTAGAATCTCGCATACTACAGTAGGTTATCGTATTTGTTATTGCTCAATCTGCTCGACATGGTCACTGTGTTCTATACACTCCATTAAGGCCTGGTGTGACGGATGAGGGTCTGTGAAGAGACTGCAGATCACGCCTCCTGGTTTCCAGCAAGCATTTGGAATCGTTGTGGTTGTGACGATTGTGGTCGTGTCCAGTAGCAGTGGTGGCAGTGGCAGTGGCAGCGGCAGCGGCAGTGGCAGCAGCAGTGGTGGCAGTGGCAGTGGCAGTGGCAGTTGCGGCGGCACGGGCAGTGGCAGTGGCAGCGGCATTGGCAATAGTAGTGGTGTAGTGGTGTAGTAGTGTAGTGGTGTAGTGGCGTAGCGGTGCAGTGGTGGAGTGGTGTAGTGGCGTAGTGGCGTAGTGGTGTAGTGGTACTAGTACTAGTAAGTACTAGTTGTAGTGTAGTGGTAGTGGTAGTAGTGGTAGTAGCAGCAGCAGCAGCAGGAGTTGTAACAGCAATAGTTGTTGCTATCGTTGTTGGACCAGGCGAGGAAGAGGAGCGGCAGCGGTTATGGTAGCGGTAGCGGTAGCAGTAGCCGTATCACCAAAAACAGCAACGGCAGCAGGAGCAGGAGCAGCAGCAGCAACAGCAAGCAGCAGCCAGCAGGGAGACCAAAACAAAAGACAACAAGTCAACAAAAGCAGTCGTAAGTCACATGGTCGTCACAAGTGCAATCGAAGTAACCACACATCCAACAGTGGAACATTGTACTCCGACCGCAGTACTCCCTCAAACCCCAACCATCCCAGTGCGGAGAAAAATGCCCCGAAGCGCCTGCACAGTAGTCCCACCTAAACCCTCCAAATGGGAACCCTTCTCAATCCCCCTGGCAAGGTTCCACTGTGATTCCGATCAGGCCAAGGACCACAACCAGGTACACCGCACCTGAGGGAGAGGTGCAAACCGCCCAAGACGTGGAGGAGAAGATGAGGCTCAGGAGAATCTGCGCAGTGGCTATCATACCCTCCCCTTCCTTCTGTTGAACTGAACCCCAGTATTCTCAAGTTCCTTTGCTGCGCTCCTTTGAGCCGGATTCAGGCTACTGCAGCGGACTGCAAGTGCAACTCAACAATGTGCTCATGTAATTTGGCTGAAGAAACAACGCATCAGATAGATGGTATCCAAGTCTTGGGTTCCAACCGCAAAGCAAATTGTAGGTGGAGTCGTCCATGCCCAGGAGCACACACAATGGAAAAGACGTTGATTGATTGTGGAAAGAATTGAGGACCCTGGGCTCATGCTGCTGGTGGCGCATGGATGCATGCAGTGTACCTCTATTCTTGCCTTGTCTCACCTCCGTTGACTCTGCCTTGTCAAATGCTGCGGATCTGGCAATTGAGACCATGCTCCATGAGATCTCTGCGAGGGACTGTCAAGCCCCTTGATTCTAACGCGGCAGAATTCTGCGCGGGAGGTCGGCGGCTGGTGATTTGTGTATTCTCAATGTCGCAGATGCTGCATCAAGTCCCTGACGTTCTGCAGCAGCTCTACCAGGACTTGTCGCATGGACATGTGTAGACAGAATCACTACTTGCCGAACCACCCAAGTACAGTTTCGCGAACTTGCTGTCTGACAGACGAGCATGCATGCCACAAGAGTTTCCACTGCAATCTCCATCCCTCAGCACCCACCCCGCCAAGGGTTCGTTCCAACACGAAACCCCGCCCGAAGCAGCATGCACGCTGAATCGGGCCATGCAGTGCACACGTGCAACTTGAGCTACGAAGCTCTACGCTACAGAGCCGAAGCCTCTGCAACAAGCAAGCCAATCAACAACTCGTGTTATCTCAGCCAGAGAGGCGGCTCTGAACACGGCTGTGTCCACACAGGCGGTCAGAAGCACGTTCCAAACTGTGCTGCACAGCTGGTGCGAAGACTGTGACGGAGCTAAGCTTCAGCTGGACGAAGCGATGTGTATGCGCCATGAGTCAGCCCTGTTCGCGCAGAT